GCAAAAAGCCCAGATCACATGGTGAGTAAGGACAAGAGTAGCTGGAGGGTTCAGCTGGGCCTGATCATGTAGGTATTTATAAGCCATGGTATGGAGGTTTGGGTCTTACTGTAAGTGCTATTGGAGGTTTTTCAGCACAGGAACACTATGACCCAATGTACTTTAAAAAAACTTTTAATTCTGAAATAATTTTAAGCTTACAGAAAACCTGTAAATGAAATATAGAGTTCCTGTATCCCCTTCGTCAGCTTCCCCTAATGTTAGCAACTTACATAACCATGGCACAATCATCACAACTAGGAAATTACATTGGTGCAATACTCTTAACTAAACTACAACTTTATCTGAATTTTATTAGTTTTCCCATTAATGCCCTTTTAATGTTCCAGGATCTGATCTAGGATCCCACATTGCACTGAGCTACTGAGTCTCCTTAGTTTCCTCCAGTCTGTGACGGTTCCTCAGTCTTTCTTGTCTTTCACAATCTTGACACTCTTTAAGAGTACTAGTGAAGTGTATTAGAGAATGTCCCTCGATGCATGTTTGAATTCTCATGATTAGACTGGGGTTACAGACTGGGGAGGGAAACCACAGACGTGGAGTGGCCTCCTTAGTGCACGGTATCGGGGCCACGTGATATCAACACCCATTACCACTGGCAATGTTCACCTCAACCACTTCTTCAGGTGCTGTCTACTAGGGATTTTTTTTTTGTTTTTTTTTTACCATATAATCATGATTCTTTTTCTTTTTGTAATTATTAAAAATCTTGGGGGAAATACATGAGACTATACAAACATCCAATTTCTCCTCAAACTTCCATTCACGAACTGTGCCATCTTTTAGTGAATCTTGCCTGCCACAATCTTACTGCGGTATTTGTCTCATGGTGATTTTGTGGCTCCCTCATTCTTTCTATATTTATTGATTGGAGTTATTTTATAAGAAAGAGCTGCCTCTTCTTCTCTGTTTATCTGCATGTAGGCTTCATGGATATTTATGGGTTACGTTCCAACACTATTATTATTTATTTTGTTGCTTGATTGTCCCAGCTTTGACCATTGGGAGCTCTGGGAGCAATCTGATAACTCTCTGACTGCAGCGGAGACAATGGGCGGGAAGAGGCAAAAGTGGAAGCAGGGAGATCAGTTAGGAAAAACTGTTGCAGCAAAGCAATAGAGTGATGCGGACGACCGGAACTAAAGCCGTGAAGATGGAGAAAGGAGGGAGAATCTGAAAGCCATTAAGGTGACAAAATGGACCAGTATTTGATACTGACTGGATGTGGGACAGAGAAATGGTGGGGGTGTGTATGTCACATGTCTTGATTTCTTCATAGCTCAAAAGTAAAGAATTACAACCCAGGAGGAAAGTCTTAGCTCAAACGCTTAGAAAATAGTAATATAGATAATTCGTAAAATTCTGTCTCTAAGTCCCTAGGATGTTGTAGTCCTCCCAAATGGTCTCAATAAAATATCACTAATGAAGGGAAATTACCATCTGTTAATGTGTGATTATTGGAAAGGGGTTTGGCAGTAGCCAGAAACAGAAAAATTTCCCATATTTTAGTCTCAGAAATATGTAAATTGTACTATTAAATCACCTACAAATGGAAATTTAAAAGCATACTAACATACAACTTGATATTTAGCATTTCAGAGATAACTTTGTTAGTAATGATTTTAAGACGGGATGACCAGAGGAAAATCTTGCCCCCTAATAACTCAGAATCTAACATAAAAATGTGGATGAACAAGGGATGAACAAGTGCTGTCAACAAAATACAGTCAATGAATTAACTGTATGCACTTTCTTTCTTCATTTAGGTCATTCTAAAAGGCACAAACTTGGATATAAGAGAGCCAGGGCAATCCAATAAAAACAACCCAAAATTTAAAATCCCAAGATATGGAACTGAGAAAACTTTTTTTATAATTAGGAAAATAAATGGCATGTACACATCCATGGGGGACCCATTACAAAATTCTTCTATTATGGTACTTTCACTGAAAGATAAACAGTTTATATAAAAGATTTCTGATAAAATTATTAAAGACCCTATTCCCTATCACTTAAAGAGCAATGACAGATATGCCTAACTAGTAGTTTTCTCGTCTTCCTAAACATATGTAATGATAAGATAAGGCAAAATATCCTATTTCTTACTGTCTCTCTGATCAACATTCATACTAATGGCATACTTACAACATATTCTCTTTTGATAGAGTACAATTGCTTTAGACAAATCCAAACAGGTTCTCTGAATTGAGTGAAATAGCTGTAATAAAAATATAGACATAATGCTAAATAAAACAGACAGCAGTGAAATATAAAATAACCACAATAAACATAACCATAGTGTTTGATTTGCCCATTAACAACAAGATCACATGCCTAAGTGTGCTTGGTGTCATGTGGTGTACGGTAGAGAAACTCTGACAAACCTTTTAAATATGCTCCCATTGTTCTATATTTATTGGAATTCATCATCTCTGTGATCTAAATTAAGATCTGCAGAAATATGATTTTCTCCAGACCATTGAAATAATAGCTGAAAAACAGAATCCTAAGTGAAAGGCCCAATTAGAGGATTTGGTAAACCAGAAACCCAATATTCATTCATAATCTAATTTATTTATTTTACTACTTGCTGTCTCTTATTTTAATGGAGGCTCTGTCAATTAGGAACCACGTTTAAAACACAATGTTAGCTTATTTTGTGAAGCTAATGTATTTTATGGCATGCTTCAATAACCCTAGAAACAGCAAACAAAAATCAATCAGTTGAATTTTCTGTCTGTTTAGAAGACATCTGGTAAGATGGAGTTTACCTAGCAGCCCCACCACGCCTCATCTTCCCAATGATTTCATAAAACAGAGAGAGAAGAAACCTAACGCCATCTCTGGCCACAACAGAGGTAAATAAGATAAGAGCAGGTGTGATATACTGAGAAGAATCGAACTCAGTTTTAACTCAGTTTTAACCCGGTCTTTGCTTCAGAAACCAAGACAGCTCAAGAGAAGATAGGACAGATACTTCATACTTTCTGCATCAACTCAGAGGCCAGGGCTGGTATCAATTAGAAAACCTGAAAGACAAAATTCTGCCTCTCAAGAGGCACCCAGTGATGTGGAGCAAGGCTTTTCCTATCTCTTTCCTAGCTTACTGGCCATGGTGATGTAGCAGTTATGTCCTGGTATTATAAAGCATTTCACTATTTGAGTCAAAACAGATGATCTGCTTCGTAATAAATATGACCAAGTTATCCAATAAAAATGGATGCATGCATATATACTTAAATTAAAAACTATTCCCAGGAATGCTTAATATGATAAAACGTAGACACAAAGAATATAAATTTTACTAAATCTCATTACTGCATCCTCTACCTGTTTTTCTTTTAAAACCCTTTTACCATAAAACAAAACAGAAAATTAGCAATCTGAATCTGTTCCTTAACAAATGTTTGATATCAGTATTCTGAGTCAGAAACCACCAAAACATATGGAAGCAAGGAAATTTAAAAAGTATGTTCAGGAACTGTTCCGTTATTACTGTTCTTTTTATTTATTTTTTTAAAATATGGTATAAATGCACATCTCTGGAGCATTCAATTGTATTAGTTGGACAATTGTATACACTCTTGTAACCACGCCCCAAATTAAAATAAGAAATATTTCTACCATATAATCAGTCTCCTCTGCTGTGGCATCCACTAAAAGATTTTTGTCATAACAGGTTAGTTTTACCTGTTCTTGGACTTAAGAACTGTTTTTGAGAACACGATTTTATTAACAAGAAATTCTGATAAATACCTAAACTTGTATAATATTCATATATCATATAAAAGTTTTTGTTTTATAAGCTTGCCCTCTATGGATAATAGTGTAAGAACCCATCGAAAGGGTTTGCACATAGTTTTTGCACGTTTTATTGATGGAATCCATTCTCTCTATAAACATCAACATTAGAATTAACATTTCTGCAACAGAAACCTCTTTCATGTGTAAAATTATTAGTCATGGCTAAGTACTTTGGACACTATGTGCTATTTTTATTAAAGTATAGTTGATTCAGTAAAAATGCAGCTGCAAGAGTCTATAAATATAAAATTACTGTATTGTGTTTAATGTATAAATAACTGATATAGTAAAGTCCTTTTTAGATAATGCTTGTATTTACTAGGGTGTTAAGAAAAAGTAAAACTGGAAGATGTGAAAAGTATATGCGACTTATAATCATTTCAACTGCATTTAGAATACTAAATCAGAATAGATACCTCCTGGTTCTGCTTCTCTCCATGGCAGCAATCTCATTGGAACATCCCTATCAAACCCAGCTCATATTTGAAAAATTCCCATGACAGGGGTTAGGGGTGGAAACTATTATTCAGTAATACTTCCTGAATGTGTACTGTGTGACTGGCTGAGGGCACAAGGGTGAATAAACTGACACAAAATTTGACCTCCTAGTGGAGGGAGCACAGACAAACACTTGAGATAATTCCACGAGAGATGAATACTATGAATATTGGTCCTGGGTCTGGTTCTACCCTCAGATGCATAGAAGGAATTATCCTTCTTCCACATGATAAACCTTCCTATACAATTGACAGTGAACATATCTCCCCTTAAACCTCTGTTCCAGTATAGCTATGGTTTTCATCGTCCTGGCCATCCTTCTTGGAAAGCTTTTTGAAATCTTTAGCTCTTTGTTTTAGATCCATTAAATGTTTAGCTCAGTAATTTTACCTTATATATTAAATGTGGAGATCATTTTGAATTCTTATCAGATCATGTAACATATTATTCCTCTCAGTGCCCCGTCATTCACAGAAGTGATAAGTACACTTTAAAAATTTAATCTAAATTCTTGGAGAATATTCAGCAACATGGGGAATTAGTGGGCATTCTACCACTTATGTTAGTATTCAGGATCAATCAGATCTGAAATCAGCTCACTGGACTATTAACTAGTCTAATTAAATATCTGCTTAGTTTACTCATTCTAGATTTTCCAGGGTTCAACACCAAGCTTACTAGACTCTATTTTCCAGGATCTTTTCCTGTCATCCTTTTCCTTCTTTTTAAATTGCCTGACCCTAGTGTCGATATCACTAGTCGTGGTTCTTTAATTGCATTAATGTTTTTCAACAAATATTTACTGAGAATTTATTACATACCATGCATTCCAGCTAAGTGCTTGAAACACAAATTAACTGAGGCATACAGGCGATTACACGAGAATTTGTAGGTCTTTTGAAAAACAGGCTGGGATGGAATTTCTCTGATCCTAGATTTTCCTCACAAACTAGTTGTCTGCAATATGTTTTCATACATAAAGCACATCTATGCTTACCCAGGTGAGTCCACTCTAGGACCGTGACCCTAGCAAGGCGGCTGTGCTGGAACTGAGAGAGATAAAGCACTCACCTCCAGTTTGGCATCCAGGTCTGCATCGGAGGCCACAACATGTTCATCTTCCTTCTTCCCCGTGGCTTTAATAAAGGCCTGCTTTGTTTCCCAATACTTCTGCTGCATCTTATTTACAACTGACTTATCCTGAGCATATCGATCCTGTAAGTCCCAGGGGTAACTGCTAAAAAACATTTAGAGTTATATTATTCGTGACTTTTATAACGACTAAGATATTTCAGTGTGAAAAAATGTATCTAAACATTATATTATACATTTACAACAATAAACATATAAATTACTTTATGGTGATTACATCAAACTCCCAAAATTTGTTAAGTTAGTGAGGAAATAAAACAACAACTTTTGCAGGAAATCGAGAAACTAAATCTTGAAGAGAGTTTAGATATCAATGGGGTACACATCCCTTTTAGAAGTGAAGAAAGTAAGACCGAACCAGGCAGGGTGACTGGCTCAATCATGCCAGCGAGTCAGAGATAAAGCCAGACACCAATGTCCCCTCCCTTCCAACATTACAGCCAACAATGAAGTGATGGCAGAAAAGTAGAGATAAGGGGCTGAAAAATAGCATGCTTAAAATCTGTCACAGAGGCACCTAAAATAGTCAAACTCATAGAATCGGAGTAGAATGGTGGTCACCAGGGGCTGGAGGTGGGGAGAGGGAAGTGGGAAATTGCTAATCAATGGTCATAAAGTTTCAGTTATAAATAAATTCTAGACAGCTGCTGTACAGCACTGTGCCTGCTGTCAACAATACTGTATTGTACACTTAAAAATTTGTTAAGTAGTCTTACCACAATCAGATAAAACTAAAAAAAAAAAAAAATTTTTTTAAAGTTCTGTTACAGATTTCTGATATTAAAATTTTTAATTCTTAAATGTAAATGTTTAAAATACAGATAGGAAGCCATTCTTCAGGAAGAGCATAGTGAAGATCAAATCAAAAAAGTTGGTAAGAAGAAATTAGAAAAATTGAGAATGAAATGGAATTCCGTAAAAGAGACCAGAGTACCTCAGATATTGACAGGAAGTTGGCTGTTGGCGCTCCATCCTTCCCATGTTGTCTACACTATCCCCCTGTCTAGAGTTCGGCTCCAAAGGCCCACACAGGACCTCACTGTCTCCTACGCAGACATGTACATCGTCTCTCACCCCACGCTACTGCCACTCAAAGTCTGGCAGACATGTGTCCTAGAACATGAATTGCTTTACACTACTATATAAAAATACCTACATTTCAAAACTTGATGACTTATACTCTCCTTCCAGATAGCAATTATAATTTTCAATTTACAGATTTATTCTTAAAAAGTCATAATACGTTTCAGATGACTTGCTTTGCAATGGTTATCTTTAGAGAGAGAAGTAGGATTTGGGGTACTTTCACGGTTTCTGGATTATTTAAAAGTTTTGTTATAAGTTTACAGCAGAGAAAATAAAAATAAAAAATGTAAAACCTTTACGTAAAAGATAATTTCTCTGTACAGTATGTGTATTAAAAGTATATAGACCTTGGTTATTTCAGGAGAATGGAATTTTCAAGAATGGGGAATTGGGTGGACTCCTTTATATTTGTATCTTTTTTTTTGGTCAAAAGTCATGGATTAATATAAAAAAATTTCCATTTTGAAAAAGCAAAAGGGACTTTAGAGATCTAGTGATTACTCTATCATTTAACAAATGAGGAATCTTAGGTTTTAAAAGGTTAAGAATCTTGTCTAAAGTCACACAGGATTAAAATCCAGGCCTCTAAATCTCAGTCCAGTGCCTACTTCAATGATCTCTTGCATTTCAGCAGCTAACAGTGAAATGGCAGATTAAGTGGAAGAAGACTTTGGGGAGGACCCATTTCTTGGGGCTCTCCAGTCTCTCTTATACAAGTGACTACTTCCCTGAGCCTGCTGCCATGATATGACAGCCATTACCAAAGTCACGAGATGGAACCACCCCCTTGTCTTAACGAGGCAAGATAGAACAATTAAAAAAATTGTCTGACAATTCTTAGTTAGAAAGACGTCATATGGGGAAACTCAGGGAAACGAAATCCCTTAGCTTTTTATTAATTACCTTTTAAAACTCATTACATTTTAAGAGATGCCAAAATTCTTTCGAAGTTTGATATCTGATATTACAGAGAACTTGGACCTGATTGCTTCTCTACCAAGAGAGGAGAGATTAAAAGGTATACCCTTTGTTATAATTAATCGTGTATTTGAAAAATGAAAATACGCACCACATTTTTTGATGATACAAATTAAAGAAGGTAAAGCATGACAAAGATCTACTTGCCTGTTGGGTCAGGGGTTCAAAATGGTTCAGAAACACTGCTTGAAAAAGATCCGGAATTTATAAAACATTAACCATGCTGCTTAGATGTGTTAACAGGCACATAAATGTCAGTACTAACATCGCTATATGATTACCACATCTGTTTTCATTATCATCATTTAATCCCAACAACCATTGACTCCTGAAAATTCATGAAGGTTGAAGTTATGACTATAAATTAATGAGTCTAAGTTTCTGTTCATTATTTTATAGCTTCCCTACATAAAATATCCTTATAATCCTAATATTAGATGTTGTAAATAAGATAGTGATAAAAAAAAAAATGTCAACTCATTACATTTGAAGAAGTGGTGGTAAGACAAGCCAAGATTAGATTCTCAAGAGAAAAGTTGTATGTAAATAAATTTCTCAGAGACTACTCATTACATAAGAACTTATAATATTTTGGTTACTTGGTTTTCATATTATATTTAATGGGAATACTGAACTTGACTACACTCAATATTGGCTAGGGACTAACGGGTTATTTATTGCTAATGTGACTCTTAATTTTTCTATTCAATAGACACTTATTGAGCATATACTATGTGCTTTCCTCTTTCATTAGCCTCTCCCAATTCAGAAAAGACAACAAATTACTTACCATTTGTGTCCTGACATGTTTTCTTCTTCTTCTTCTTCTTCTTTTTCTACTGTTGATGATTTGGGGAGAAGGGGCAGGGAAAAAGCATGAGAGGATAAGTTATATTATAACCTGAAATAAAACAAATATGTTTAACAGTTACACACTATATTACAATTGTATGGTTTTTTTGACACATATAAATTTCAATCTAGCCATTTTAGGGGCCAAACACTACTATACACTAACACTATACACTGGTGTCAGAATAGTTCAGCTAAGTAGCACTGGAAGAAATATCCCAAATGAAGTTTAAGAAGTGAACAAGCAAGTTGAATGAAAAAAAAAAAGTTGTAGAAGACTACATAAAATATGAGACCACAAGATGCAAAGCAATACTATATACTACTGAAGTACAGAAATGTTATATAGTGAAGGTACAAAGAATTGCTTAGGGATGGTGAACACTAGATCCCAGGTAGCAATTACCACTGCAGTGTGGGGGTACACAGGGTCTTCAACTGTATCCATAGTATTTTCTTTGCTAATCTAAGTGGTGAGATACGGCATCTGTTTACCTCTTTACAGATTTTAAATAGTCCATAATCAGTATTTCTAAAAAATGAACCAGCCCATTGTAAAAAAAAAAAAAAAAACAAACAAAAATTTTCAATGGACTAGAATGAGACACCTAGAAGGGTAAAAAGGAGGAAAATGTGATTTTTCCGTTGGTACCAGACTAACATTGTATTTTCATCTCCTTAGTAAATATGGGAGTCGCTTAATGCCTTTGCCCCTCACTCCATTTGCCTCACTTCTGGAAGCTAGCCAACCAACAGGGAGGGGCATAGCCAACCAACCCAGCCACACTTACCTACTATTTACTGGAAAGAATGGTGAACTACCTACCTAAAGAAATGGCCCTGGCAAAAGACTGCCAGCAATCAGAGTGAATGCTCAGTGTATAAATGCTCTGGCTATTCCAACAAAATCAAGGCAATCATTCTCTCTCTGCTCAGAAAGGGTCCTGGCAACTAGAACCCCTGAAATTATCAGAGTTTCCCAGGATTTTAAAAAATGTTTTAAGGAAACTAACTTGAGGTGTTGAAACTCAAGGCTTCAGGTGAGGGGAAGGAGGACCTTTTCTGAGTGTCCGGATGCCACTGGAATGACAACACCCCGCCTTGAGCATCCCTCTTCCTCCTGGAGGGCATCCAGGTCCACAGACAAGTTGCTTTGGGAATGACTGTCTTGATGATTAAGCCTTGCCCTCTACTCAGTCAACTGTGGAGAGGCCATGAACCACCCACAGAGCTTCACAGCAGGTACACACTTACTTTATTTAGCTCAAAGCTTCCAACAAAATTTCTCATGAAAAGGTATTGTTCAAGGAAATGAAATTATTATACATTTTCCTTGAGTTCAATTTCACTAGGAACTATTAGGATAGTACTTTCTGATTAATTTTTATTTCAGTAAAAAATAGTAATATAAATTTCTTCTCTTATTTTTTGAGTGTACAGTACAGTATATGCATATTGTTGTAACAGCTCTCCAGAACATTTCATTTTGCATGACTGAAACTTTGTACCCAATCAACAACTGCGTTTCCTCCTCTCCCAGCCCCTGGCAACCAGCATCCTGCTTTCCATTTCTATGATTTGACTATCTTAGATACTTCATGTAAGTGGAATCATGCAATATTTGTCTTTTTGCAATTGGCTTATTTCACTTAGCACAATGCCCTTGAGTTTCCTCCATGTTGCAACGTATGACAGGTTTTCCTTCTTTTCTAAGGCTGAAAAATAGTCCATTATATATAGCACATTTTCTTTATCCACTCATTCAGCCATTAATGGATATATAGGTTGCTTCCACATCTTGGCTGTTGTGAATACTGCTGCAATCAACATGGGTGTGCAAATATCTCATCGAGATCTTGTTCTTAATTTTTTGGATGTATATCAGAAGTGGGATTGCTAGATCACATGGTAGTTTTATTTTTGATCTTTTGAGTAACTTCCATACTTTTTCCACAGTGACTGTACCATTTTACAAGCCCACAAACAGTGCTTCAAGGGTTCCAATTTCTCTACATCCTATCAACACTTGTTAGTTTCTTTTTGTTTGTTTGTTTTGTTAGCAGTCATCCTAATGGGTACAAGGTGATATCTCATTGAAGTTTTGATTTGTATTTCTCTGATCATTAGTGAAGTTGAGCATCTTCTCATATGTTTATTGGCCATTTGTATGTCTTCTTTGGATAAATATCTATTCAAGTCCTTTGCTTATTTTTTAATCGGTTTTTTTTTTTTTTGCATTACATTGTAGGAGTTCTAGATATCCTGTATATTAACTTTTTATGTGATATATGGTTTGCGAATATTTTTCTCCCATTAAGTTGCCTTTTCACTGTTATTTCATTTGCTACACTTTTAAACATTAATTTATTAAAATATTTAAAAATTTAAGTACTTTGTAGTATAATAGATAATAAAATCACTGAGCAAACTGTTCCATCTACCTGAACTTCCAGGATACTCCGGATCACAATGCCATATGGCAGTGCTCCCCAGGGCATTGTTTACAGGCCATTTGCATTGTAATCTTCTGGGGTGTTAACATGCAGATTCCTGGGCCCCACCCCTTACCTATACCTTCTGGGAATGTGTCTGGGAATCTGTATTTGTGACAGGCTTTGCAAGTGATTCTTAAGCACTTTACAGTCTGAACACCAAAGCTAAATGGCACTCAGAAAAAATTTTTTCTAGAAATGGATCTTTCTTGAATAAACTGCTGAATCATATGGCACTTGAGTAAAGGGATTACAGGTGGCAAAATCAGATCAACTCTGTAGGGCATATCTGAGTATCTCATGAGAAGGCAGCTGCAGCCAGGGCTTGTGTTTCCTTAATGTATGTTCTAGCCCCATACACCAGGGACAATTAATAAACATTTTAAGATCCTGACAAAATCCATCTCGTCTTGCTCTATCATTTCCTAAACCCACAGGCTCAAAATCAACACTTTAAAAAATTGTTATAATTCTCATCCACTCATTCCTTTCAATTATACAATTCAGTTTATCAAACATGCCTTAAAAATCTAATTAATATGTACCAGGCACTGTACCTGGCCTCAAGGAACTCACAGTCTAGATCAGCTCTGCCCAACGAAAATGTACTATGAGCTATTATGTAATTTTAAGTAATCTAACAGCCATTTTTAAAAAAGTAAAAATAATAATAATAATAAAAAATTTAAAAATAATATATATTTTAACTCAATATATCTAATTATTTCAATATGTAATCAAAAAATTTGCTGATATCTTTTGCACTTGTGTTTTTGTACCAAGTCTAGAATCAGGTGTGTATTTTACACCTGCAGGACATATCCATTGAGATTAGCCACACTGGGTGCTCAATGGCCACATGCAGTTGGTTGGTGGCTACAGTATTGGATAGTGCAGGGTGCGCAGGAAAGACAAACATGTAAACATAACTTTCAGACCCAGGAGACTTTACAAGGGATATAGAAAAAATACTTCATGAATCCCCAAATTCGTAAACTCTGCTGTAAAAAATATCATTTTCCCTGTAAAAAAAAAACAATAAAGCCTGTGACTAGCTAATACTTCATTCATAATTCTGCAATGGAAACTATTTCTCCACTTCTGCTTCAAGGCATTTATGAAAGAAGCCCCAAATGAATGGTATCATGTCTTAAGCTTTTTAGGCACAGAGAACACTTTCTAAAGTTCTGCTTGTGGCCACCTTCCCTTGGGAGACAAGCAAAGAAAAACAAGTAACAAGCAGCTTACAGACTGTAAGTGCCATGATAAGAAAAAGACAAAAGCACCAATGTTATTAAATTTAGCGTGACTTGACGACATGAATGTTTCTGTTTCACGAAACTCTGTCTCCTCAAGGAAGACAAAGCAGCTGAGCCAGTAATAATTAAGACCCACTCAAGATGCAGAGGTCTACGAGTTAACAGATCAATGAAAATCAAATTCTTACTTCTGATAATAACCTTGAGAGTGGGTCAAGTGTGAGGTAGGGAGGAGCAGGATCTGTGCCTAAGACAAGAAATAAAGGGGAAAGATGTCTCCTTGCTTAGAGGTGAGACTGCTGCTGCAGTCAGCACCTTTTGCTTAAGTGACACTAAGATTGCCAGCCTAATCCTCTTAGACTTTCCCAGGTTCCACCTTGATGGGGCTGTGACACCTTCACTTCCTGCTCCAAGGCTAGGCATTAAAACCATAGCTGTTCTCAGCTACAGGTGGCTGAGAGACCATCTTGCCCTGTGGAGAGAACAGGGAGGAGGGACACTTTGTTCATATTTTCTACTGGGGTTCTGTGCAATAATTATCCTCATTTTCCCTCTATGCTTTTCTTGCATGCTTGCTGTGTTGACCCTGCAATTTTGTGGACAGCCTACAACTGTTCCGCTTGTTTATATTTCCTATAGCCATTGAAAAGCTATTTTGAACACATCGGATGGCCAATACATAAGCAAAAGTTTTTTCTAAATACCCCCACGATATTTTTTTCAATATTGCAAGGTTCACAGAATGCTAAAAGCAAGCCTAGTTTAAACAAAGTTTGATGCATTGCTACAAAGAAGGGAAGTCAGTCTGTCCTCAGCTGCTTTTAACCCTAAATCTGGATGCTCTTCCTTGGAGATCGAACATGGGGAAGCACTTTCATTCCATATAGGCTGCCTGCAACACCACTGAACATTTGTTCTGGCCCAGAAACCTATTCTACAAGCTTATGGAGTTAGCACCGCCAATTAATTCGGATTCTGCAAAGAATCCAAAATTCTTGAGCCAACCCTTACTCAGAGTGAAGGTAAAATCAGTAGTTATATTTCATCATATCAATACACTCAACTCACAAAAATATTTCAGTAAGCTTCCACTAGAATCACATTTCCCAAGTGTGTCCTGTTTTTGGTGCAGTTTCATGTTTCACATTAATTACCTATCCAACTTTTTTTTTAACCTATCCAACTTTAGCAGTAGATTTTTCTCTTCCATCAGTGAGCAGTTTTTCCGTTAGTTGGAGTACTAGCTGAAACTGGGTCCAGAATCCATTTCTCTTGTATATGTATTGAACATATGGTGG